CTCCAGATGGTGGACCAGAATCAACTTGAAGCCGTACAGAAGTCTTTTCCCATGGCCTCTCTGAACTCCCATGCCTGAGTTTTTGCCTCAGCGACCACCCAAGCCGCAAGCCGCTTGGACTGCCTATAACTATCGGCAGCTTCTGGAGTCCCACAGGCCAAACAGACCAGATAGGACTCCTTCTTCAGCCTTACAGCATCCCTCACTGCCGGTGTCCAACAATGGGCTCGAGGGTTGCTGCCACGACAGGCACAGACAACCTTACGGCCACAGCTCAGGTAAGCGGTGGCGGCGGCCGTGGCAGAGTGGTTAAGGGAGTCATTCCGGAAAAAGAAGGTCACCGGCTCGATCCCCATTCCAGCCGTTTCAGTCATTGTGTCCTTGGGCAAGACACTTCACCCACCTTGCCTACTGATGGTGGTCAGAGGGGCCGGTGGCGCAGCATGGCAGCCCCGCCTCTGTCAGTCTGCCCCAGGGCAGCTGTGCCTACAATGAAGCTATCATCAGTGTGTGAATGTGAGTGTGAATGAATGATGCATGGAAATTGTAAAGCGTCTTTGAGGGTCTCGAAAAGCACTTTATAAGACTAATGCATTATAAGACATAATGCATATAAGGCATTACAGCTCAGGTAAGCCGCCTCAACAATGGACCACTTGGACTCAGTGTCCCCCACCTCCCCTGGAATGTGTTCGAAGTTCCCCCAGAGTTGTGAATTGAAGCTCCGTCTGACGGGAGACTCTGACAGACGTTCCCAGCAGACCCTCACTATACGTTTGGGTCTGCCAGGTCTGACCGGCATCCTCCCCCACCAACAGAGCCAACTCACCACCAGGTAATGGTCAGTTGACAGCTCCACCTCTCTCTTCACCCGAGTGTCCAAAACATGTGGCTGCAGATCAGCTGAAACAACAACAAAGTCAATCATCGAACTGCGGCCTAGGGTGTCCTGGTGCAAAGAGCGCATATGAACACACTTACTGTATGTTTGAACATGGTGTTCGTTATGGACAATCCATGACGAGCACAGAAGTCCAATA